AATGTATTAAGGAACAGGGAATTAAATATTTCTACAGAAACCGTAAGACGTCGTCTACGTGCTGCAGGTGTGCACTCACATCCTGCAACAAGAAAATAGAGCTCAAGCCGCAACATAGAATGGAAAGAGTACAATTCGCAAGAGAATATTTAAATACACCTCAAGAGGAATGGAATGCCGTCATTTGGATGGACGAAAAAGTAATTTTCATCCTCAGAAGATGGGCGACGTAGAGTCTGGCGACCAAATGGATCGCGTTTAAATCCCAAATATGTTATCCCATCAGGAAAAAGCGGCAGAATCACATTAGGATTCTGGGGAAGTATGACTTCAAGTGGATTGTTAAATCTACAAGAGATATCTCCACGAATGGATGCCGAAGAATACGTGGAAATTCTTCAAGAAGTATTAAAACCTGGCATTAGAAGAATTTTTCCGGAAGAACAATATCCAGTTGTAAAAGTAGTGCAAGATAATAGTGCCGTCCATACATCAAGATTGGTGCAAGCATGGTTCGACGAAAATCCAGACATTCAAAAAATTCGATGGCCAGCAAAGTCTCCTGATCTAAATCCAATAGAAAATGTGTGGGGTCAAATGGTATCATCATGGAGAGCTGGCGAACTCCGAACAAAAGAAGCCTTACGGAACAATGTGCATCAAGTTTGGCAGCAATTATCGCAACGACAAGATTACACGCAAAACTTAATCAACTCAATGCCAAGAAGATTGCAACAAGTTATAGACAATGACGGATACTGGATACCGTATTAGTAAGTATAATGCTATATATGCTACACACACACATACACACACGCGCGCACACAAAATTAATTGTTGAATATTTTTTGTTTCAGGTATGCAGATGACACAGAAGAAATAGAAATTTAAAGTTAAATAAATAGAAAATTATTGATATTGGATATCCAATAAGTAAGTACTATATCTATATTAACTAAAATATAAGAAATAAAAAATTAATATTAATAATTTCAATTTTTACTGTGTTTCAGGATGTTTCAGGATAAACCGAGTCCACTGGATCAACCCAGTTTTTTGTAAAAACAAGCTTGCACCTGAAAAATAGAGAGTATAGGTATCCAGTATCCTTCATTTTCTGTAACTTGCTGCAATTTTCTTGGCGTTGAATTGATTAAGTTTTGCGTGTAATCTTGTCGCTTCAATAATTGCTGCCAAACTTGATGCACATTGTTCCATAAAGCTTCTTTTGTTCGGAGTTCGCCAGCTCTCCATGATAATACCATTTGACCCCACACATTTTCTATTGGATTTAGATCAAGAGACTTTGCTGGCCATCGAATTTTTTAAATGTCTGGATTTTTGTCGAACCATGCTTGCACCAATCTTGATGTATGGACGGCACTATTATCTTGCACTACTTTTATAACTGGATATTGTTCTTCCGGAAAAATTCTTCTAATGCCAGGTTTTAATACTTCTTGAAGAATTTCCACGTATTCTTCGGCATCCATTCGTGGAGATATCTCTTGTAGATTTAACAATCCACTTGAAGTCATACTTCCCCAGAATCCTAATGTGATTCTGCCGCTATTTCCTGATGGGATAACATACTTGGAATTTAAACGCGATCCATTTGGTCGCCAAACTCTACGTCGCCCATCTTCTGAGGATGAAAATACTTTTTCGTCCATCCAAATGACGGCATTCCATTCCTCTTGAGGTGTATTTAAATATTCTCTTGCGAATTGTACTCTTCCATCCTATGTTGCGGCTTGAGCTCTATTTTCTTTGTTGCAGGATGTGAGTGTACACCTGCAGCACGTAGACGGCGTCTTACGGTTCTGTAGAAATATTTAATTCCCTGTTCCTTAATACGTTTGCGACTGGATCGAAGGGATTTTCGTCTACAGCTTTTACTATTTCCTCATTCTGCTCCGGTGTAGTCTTCTGTGGAGCACAATTATTTTTTCTGTGATCTTCAAGATTCTCTATTCCTCCTTCTTCATGTTTTATAACCCATAAAGCAACAGTTTGATAGCTGAATCCCACAATTCTTGCAATTTTTGATTTTTTATGTCCTGTTTAGTGTAATCCTACTTGACTCTGCCTCTGTCTGCCGTATTTGTGTGTTGCATGTTTTGTATATTAAAATGTTTAATAAAATGTTTAATGTTTAATAAAATGTTTCATGTTTAATAAAATGTTTAATGTTTATTAATGTTTAATAAATGTAATTCACTGTAAATATAATTTATTATAAAAAAAATATATATAATACCCAAAATAAAAATATATAACACCCAAAATTTTTAACCTGATTGTGGGCGTCCTAAGCATCGGAAATAAAAAAACCAAATTTTTTTATTTTTTTAGCATATGTTAATATCATTTTTTATTCAAAAGTTAATATATATTTACATATTACACTTTTATAATGTATATTACATTTATAATGTATATGTATAGACAAAGTGATAAATGAGGCATTATGCATAATGTCCGAGACCAGTCATGATGGTCGGTGTTCATCTGGCAGAGTGATAAATAAATAAATAAATATATATATATAATAATTGTCAATTAATATTTGTTAATTTTTAATTTAAAAATCGCTTTAACCACGCAATATAAATATAAATAAGTAAATATATAAATATATAATATATATTTACTAATATTTATTTATATTTATATTGCCTGGTTGAAGCAATTTTTAAATTAAAAATTAATAAATATTTATCACTCTGCCCGAATGATCTCGGGCATTATGCACAATGCCACATTCATTACTTTGTCCATAACCTATATATCTATACACATCAATCTTTTTCTTCATTGTTCTTGGTAACAGATTGGCTTCTAGAACACCTGAAAATTAATAATATGTAGTAAAACATCTGTAATAAGAAGGATTATGTGTGAATATAAATATAAACTTACCTGCGATCATGTATCCTGGTACCAATAGACCGAGATTCATTTATATTGTTAAATCTATATTAATAAATTGCTGATGAGATGAAAAGATCCGAAACTCGCCGTGCTTCTCAAAGTGAGATCCCGGATAATCATCGAGCTATGAAAAACAAAATGTAAATGTTATTAAAAATGCAAAACAAATATGTTTGATTACCAATGTAATAAAAAATAAGAAATACCTATAAAACGACCATTTGAGCAAAAATTGACGTGCAGCTTTAGCGAACGTTGGTTTCTCTTCAAATGGTTTAAGCACAGTAGGTTAGTAACAACTCCTTTCAGCCAGATTGCCCAATCCTCCAGTGAATTTTGTTGCTGTAATGTTAAGTCTGCCTCGTACCATTCCGCAATCACATTGGCATACCCCAGTTAAATCTATATTAATAATTTATTAAATTAGTATTTAAAGTACTACATAGCTATTTCAATAAATATATATATATATATATATATATATATATATATATATATATATATATATATAGTAATTGTCAATTGGCATTATGCATAATGCCCGAGATCAGTCGGGCAGAGTGATAAATATTTGTTAATTTTTAATTTAAAAATTGCTTTAACCAGGCAATAAATATAAATAAATATATATTATATATTTATATATTTATTTATCTATATAATTATATTTATTTTTATTAATATTATCTATTTATATTAATATTTATCTATATTTATTTTTATTTACATTGCCTGGTTAAAGCAATTTTTAAATTAAAAATTAACAAATATTTATCACTCTGCCCGACTGATCTCGGGCATTATGCATAATGCCACATCACGCACTTCATTATTTTGTCCATACTTTGTTCAAAGTTTATCTTTTTCCTTCCAATGTAGAACACCTGAAAATTAATAATATGTAGTAAAACTTCTGTAATAAAAAGGATTATGTGTGAATATAAATAAACTTATCTGCGATCATGTATCCTAGTACCAATAGGCCGAGATTCACTTCTTCACGATAAACTTCTGTCTCTTTCTCTGAAAAAAATTAATTTAATAAAAATTTTAAAAACTTAATGAAATGTAGCACGCAATTTTCAAGTGTATAATATATTAAATCTTACCTTACTCCGGTGATGCAAACTAGAAACCGCTGACACCAAGGCATCGCGACAGGGAAAGCACGCACGCAAGCAAAAATCGTCTACGTCACGTGTCCGTGTGTGCTTAGCCGTCGGTTACCGTCACACGGACGCGTACATAGGCGATTTATTAACCTAACTTGTCACATTGCTTTACTTCACTCCAGCTGCTTTCACACAGCCATAACAGCGTTGCCGGATGTCACAGTCATGATGTAAAAATATATAGAGTCGGAACACGCCGACTCGATATGCCTTGACACTCGTGCAACTTCATATGTCAAGGCATTTGTGTGACCTGGTGTACAATCAAATTCTATTTGCACGTCGACGGTGGCGCTCTTGACAGAGTCGTTTTGTCGCGAACAATCTATGACTACAAACGGATTGGCTTCCAAGAATTCATCGATATCCAAATACGTATTATCGCATCCGTAATAAGCTTTGTGGAAACGCGCATACATGTTGTACGGTATAGCGTATCGATTCCTGTCGAAATCCAAGTTCATGTCGTCGTACAGATAAAAATCTAAATTTAGATGGAGTCTCACATTGGTGAGTTTACAAGCATTAAATTGAGCAATGTTTTCAGAGAGCACATTTTTTCGACTGGATTGAAGAGCAAAGATTAGGTATCGCAATTTTTCCAATTGCGTCGCGACTTTGACCGCCCAGGAATGCTTGGTTGTGTTTTGCAGCATGAGAAATTCGTACAGATCCCACGAACGGAAACGCATGCTCAAATATCTTTCCAAAGTTCGAAGACAGCTTGTTGACTTTGCTCAGAGCTATGTGCGGCATTCGCCACTGTATTTTGAGTAGTTCAATCATTGGATTTGTACCAGCTCGTGCGATTAGACAATTGTTATCGTTGCGCGAGCGTATCAATACAAGTTCATGACGCGCGTTGATTACAATCCGCTTATAGTCCTCACAGAATCCCAAAAGAATATTAAGCGGAACGCAAAAATTAAAGTTTCTATCGGTCAACGGATATCCAGTTGGATTCCACGATGCGTATTTCAGCGTCTTGCTCTTCTCCGTCGTCAGAGATATATATTGGATCGTGCTCGTTATTCCAACGTTTCTGTTACGATCGATTTCAACTTCGTCGAGCTCGTATCGCATTTCATCAAACATGAACGCGACAGAATTATTTCCCATTACACACACGTTATCTTTAGCCTCATCAGTAGGATTCGTAATAAGTTTTCCTTCAATGTAAAGAAAACTCTCACACGGTAACGTGTACAAATCCTGTTGCTGTATTGGTATTTGTATCTCATCGCTGTGTCCCAACGTTGTGTTAGCGTACGGATTGTACGTGTGCATCTTATATTTTACGATGCGCTCGTCGACGGGCTCATCAGCAATGTTGAGTATATCTATCTCTTTAAACGTTTCTCACGGCAAATCCCAATGATTGTAAAAAGTTTACACTCGATGTACTCAACTTCTTGATTGGTGAATTTTTCTCAATTTTTGCTGTTTGCTCAATCACTCGCTGTTCTTTCTCGTTCAACGCGAGCATTTTCTTACACCACATCGTCGCAAGTGCAATCTGATGGTAATTTCCTCTCCGCGAAAGTCGATCAATCGTCCTTGATCCACCACACGTAGTGTAATATCAGTAACGCTCCTTGCGATGACTGGGAGGTAAATAATTTGCGCCAGCGTTTCCTTTATATCTCGGAGGCACATTTGGTGAAAATTCGTGTATCATGTGCACAGACTTGTCGTTGATGTACGCGCTCGCGGTAATGCTGCATTTTACTCTTATAACGTTTACGTTGACAATGTTTACCGAGAAGTTTGATTCGTACCACCTTCTCGGTTCCAGTATACGAGCTGTCGAAAATCCCAACAATGATCCAATGGTATTTGGTTTAAAGAAATTTATTTGGAAAGCGCACTTGATTTCACTCTTCATAGTATTAACATTGGGACGAAGTGATAATGGATAATTATCATCATCACTTTTTCCTCGTTTTTGTATAATTGCACGTTTCAGATATGCATCGATGGCGTCTATTTCGTATGATCCTTCGGGAATTGTAATTTTATCATCATTGTCGTCAAAGTAAAATTTGTTGTTTGTCAACGTTCGGTATCGTGTTGTAGGTCTCCAATGTGATTAAGCCGAGTTCGTATTCTCCATCACTCAAATTTATCGGTGGAAAATAGTCCACCGTGAGAAGGCTGCTCTTGCCGCTAAGTATGAGCGTCAGCGACATGATTCTAGCGACGACTGACATCGATCGACGATGGGTCGATTCTTAAATCTATTTGTTGGAGGAACAATAGGCACAATTGTCCGCAGATTGTTTGATTGTACGCCTGATAGACCGTGCGATTGTATGTTATCGTTGTATCGGTGCCGAGATAGCGTACAATTTCCTTCGGTGGTTGCAAATTACCAAAACTGTCAAAGTACATGGCGCGATCGCCTCTCTTGGCGTAGCCAAAAGTACGCCCAATGCGTGCCCTGTCTATCGACATCATCCAAATTTACAATATATTCTCTCGTTTCGATATATCTTGTGCGGTATAGCATTACGCATGTAGACGCCTCGGAAATACGGTATTCGCATACGTTTCGCCATTTGTATCAACTGTAAATTGGTGGTGACACCCGTGAACATCTTTATCTTCATTTCGATGTTTTTTTTTTCTTCTGCGAGACTCCTTTGCCTTGTTTGTACAGAGCGAGATAAAGTCCGTGTCCTTCCGTAGCGCGATTGTGACGTTGTGTTTCTTCGAGGACGGATCAAAGGAAAATGTTAAATATAGGTCGATTTTGGCCCATGGTGTGGAACCAAAACTACAAATGGTTTTCTATAGATTTCATACCGTAGAATCACGTGGTAAAGTTTGTTTTCCTCTAGACAGCGGAGAAAGTACGGAAAAATTAAAAAAAGACCATAAAAAATGCAATTTCTCGAGCTGGTTAAAGTTTGGAACATTCCTGGAGCAATTTAAAAAAAAATGATTTGTCGCTCTTGTCCTTTTGCAGGGAGGAAGTTTCGAGACTAACAAAGTACAAAAGAGACCGATCCGATACATGTGTCGGAAGACATTCTTATGCCCAAAAAACCACCCCCAAAATCACTTAAACGATTCTCGCCAAGCTAAAAATGATTTGTCGCTTTTCTCCTTTCGCATAGAGGAAGTTCTGAGGCCCTCACATGACATATAAAAGAGACCGATCCGATACATGCGTCGGAAGACACCCTTAGCTTGGCGAGAATCGTTTAAGTGATTTTGGGGGTAATTTTTCGGGTAAAAGAGTAATTATCCAGATTATTTGAATTTTTTGATTTCTTATTTATCCTTTTTCGATAACATCACCATGAATCCAAAAAATATTTTAAAGCTTTTAACAACAGCCTTTGATCAACCTCAATATGATTTTTAATCTGTTATAAATGAAGATGAAAAGGCTTTTAGCTAAAGATGCAATTCAAGATTCTCTGTTTGTAGAAACATACGATACCCTTTCTTTTGAAAACAAAAATGCTATTCCGGAACTTGTTTCAATGGAAGATGATGGCGATAACTTTAATATCGAGGAGAATTTTGATTTTTGTGAAACTACAAATGAAGAAATCGACGAAGAATACAAGAGAAAAGTTGTAAACTATTGGAATTTAGGAAGAAAAAAGAAATTGAAATTTGAATCAGTGCAACAAAGGTTTAAACAATTGAAATCCAAGCGACAGTTATATCGATGGGAAGAACAAATGAATAATAAAACTCGATTTGATAAATTAAAAAAAATTTTGGAATACGTTTTGACTCAATTTCGTGCCTCAATAACGTGCCCCGAAAGATAAGAGGCAAGGGGACTCACTGTAATAAAGCACCCCGAAAAGTGAGAGGCAAGGGGACTCACTGTAATAAAGCACCCCGAAAGGTGAGAGGCTAGGGGACTAACTGTAATAAAGCACTTCGAAAGGTGAGAGGTAAGGGTACATACTATTTATATTCATTGATCTTGGAAATTATTTATTTAAACCTAGTTATGAAAAAAATTCAGAAATCAACACATTTTTGCAAAAAATTATAAATTTTAATGTATATGTGTTTTTATGTAGCTGCCATATTGGGACCGCCATTTTAAATTTTATATCTTTAATACCATATTTAAATTCATCGACCCAAAGAAAAATTTAACTTATTTTGATAAAAAATAATAAAAATTTAATGTATTTGGACGCCATATTGGATCGGCCATTTTGAATTTCATACTTTTGACATAAGATTTAGTTTCAGCGACCTCAAAAATCCCCTAATCCATTTTACTTTTTAAAATTTTCAACTTATTTCACCTATTATATTAAATCTACCTTTTACTTTTAAAGGGTAGTTTTCACCCTTCAGAGTGAACCTTTGCCGATAAAAAAAAAAATACGTGTCAAATATTTTTCATAGTTCTACAAATATGCAAAGTTTCATTAAAATTGGCGAGTGACACTTCCGTAGGTGTACTTGTTAGTGGCGAATAATCTAACAAATTTAGAGAAAGCATCTATAATTACTAGAATATACTTTTTCGCTGACACTTGATTATCTACTGGCCCAAAATGATGTGAACAATTTTAAATGGAAGATTCCCTTTCGGTATTGGATGCAGGTATCCTTCGGTCTTACCACATACAGTTGAGAACGAAATACATTTTAGGCAGTATTGTACATGCTCCTCGCATTTTTCGCGGATTCTGGGGAACCAAAACGTACGTCGAATAGCGTCGATCATCTTACCGGATCCAACATGGCCCATTTCGTTATGGTAGCGAAGTAAAACATATTTTTCCATCTGTTCGGGTACGAGAAACAAGAGATTTGCACCATGCTTTTTATAAACTAGACCATCACGTAATGCATACTGGGGATTTTCCGCTGATTCTAATTGATGCGTGATTTCTTTGATCTTGGGATCTCGACTTTGTAAGACTGTGAGGTTCCTTTCAAATGGATTGTCCTCAACTACCAAGACTCCGAAAGATCTGCTCAATGCGTCAACGTGGACCATTTTCGATTCTGTATACATTCGACCCTATGTATCACTTTAAGGGTATACTGGAGTGGCAGCCGAACTCCGACGCGAAAGCGCCATCATTTCGATGGTACTAAAAATGAAATGACATTATCGGCGTAGCCTACGCCGCGTAGGTCCGTGTGTACGCATTTGTTTGTAGTGGTAACTCACTACACTGACGTGTGGTCTGTGTACGTGTGATCGGATAGTTTGTAAACAAACGATGCTTGCGCTTGTTTCCTCGACTGAAATT